ATTCACAATTCTTAACAGATGGTTGAAGAAACTGACAAGTGTTTCAAGTGAAGACGCTCTGTTGTAAACAGCCACACCAGCACGCTTTTTTGTCTTCGTCTTGCCTGAACCAACATTTTTCCCCCAACGTAGAACACCCCTTTAACATGGGAACACATATACATGGTCAAAATCACATGGTAAAGAGGAGGTTTAATTTTCTTTACAAGTAATGCTTCTTTTGCAGTTTAATGGGGTTAAAATAAACAATACATTTAAAGGATTAAGACATCTAAATCTAGAAGCCTAACAGCCATCTTTCAAAAAATATATCCACACAATCAACAATTACATTTCAATAATGTACTGAATGGCGTCACATAGATTTATGAATTTAATGTAATGTAATGTAAGGGGCTATTGACAATTGTTGAATAGAATAAGAAAGCACTCCTATTAGATTGAAAATAGAAAAAAGGAATGCTGAACTTGGCTGAGAATAGAAGTAAGCCATATTGCCGGTTACCAATATAAGATTTTATTCAATTTGTCAAACAACTTATTATGGCTGTGCAGCATTTATATAATTACCCTCCTCCAAGAGTTGGATTTATTCGAAGAATCAGCACGAGTGATCCAGCTTCAACAAACAAATCACTAATTTTCAGAACAGATGTAAAGTTACAAAGTTCAAAAAAAAGTAAAAATCAAAACAGCTGTAAGCCATCCAAATTTTGTCGCAAGAAGCATATTCAAAAGGATAAGTGTCAATGCAGGATGAAAGCTTGCTCGAGTATAAACAAGATAGTAATAAACAAAGAATTAACTTCATGAATTTATAATTATGTCTACTGAATATATGAGAAAGCTGACTTTGACTTGTTTGACGAAGGAAAAGATGCTCTATTAGGGAACTTTGTTTTTAGTGATGGTGGTGTCCTGACCAGCTAGCACTCTATTTGTTATTTTATGAATCTGTTAGCACAACAAAACTTAAGATAGCCGCAAATTCCTAAGATGAGGATTCATTCATGTAAATCACAGATGAACATCCAAAAGGAAAGAAACCAGCTCAAATGCAATATATCTACCTTTCCTCTTCGGACAATATATTGTCGTTCATAAGTTTCTGCAACATAGCATCCTGCAATAAAGTATCATACAAACTCAACCAAGTATCATCACACACAGTAAGACCTCAAAGGCCCATGTCCAAGCAAGTGTTTCAAAGAAAAAAAGTTTCAGGAATGGGGGTTTTGGTGGGGGGCATGATATCCTTGAAGTGTTGTATTAACAGGATACCTATCAAGAAGAACAGTTCCTCAAAATAGAAACTTTGGTAATTGAGATAAAAGAGTTTTTTTTGTTTTTGTTTTTGATGAAAGATAAAGGGGGTCATCTTAAAACAAGTGTGCAGCAGAAAGAGTGAATTCTTTACATTTCAAAGCATGTATACGAAGTTATCATGCAAGTAAATACAAAATATTTCACATATTATGCAGTAAAATCATCCCTGGCATCTTTTTCTATCTTAACATCTCAAAGCATGTAATTAGCCGTGAAAGATTTCCATAATTGAGCAGTACAATCATCTCAATGTCTTTTGTTTTGGTGGAGGGAAAGGGAGCCAAAACTCCAAGAGTCTTGATGCCCTTATAAATCCATAAAGAAGATATAAAAGGATTATCAAGACGTTCCTAAAACAAATTTGTCTCTTATGGCAGACATCAATAAGTACACTTAAAATAGATTTATCCCTTGAGGGAGACATCATATAAAAAAATCATAGGAAGCATATATCAATAGATGGATCTTCATCAGGCCTTAAGATTAGTGAGGTAGCCATACTTGTGCCTCGCAACGTACTACTGCCATGACTCGATCATTGTACTCTTCGATGCTCAATGGTGGGAACAAAAAATGTCTTCTTGCATATAGCTGCACATCGAAGGTTCAACAAGATTAGATATACATTTTCTAAGTTGCATCCCAATTGACTATTCAACTTTGATACCGTAACTTTTATGCATAAGTCACAACTACTACAAGTAATTGAAGAAAATCATGTGTTCCCAGTAGAAACCAATCATTCAAATTTCCAACAGAAGATACTGGAGTTGTACCCACCATTAATGCAAGTGACTCTAGGAACAGAAATGTAAATATCAATTTTCACATGCTTATCTACTTCCTACGTAGAGGTAAAGCTGCCCTCCAAGATGTCACAATGCACTACAAAGAGAAAAGGAATCAAGGGTATTTTCACATGCACATCTACTGATCTACTTCTGACACATGGTTGGAACTTGTCTTTGTGAATGTCATGAGAATGCAAAAAATCTACCCTAAGCAGCTTGTATAGTTAAGAAGGTTACATGTTTGTCCTGGTCCAAGATTGCCATCTTTCTAAAAGTAATATCTCCTATCGTATCAAGTTATCAGACTCAGATATTACCGTAATAGTTGAAGTCATATTAAATCTAAACAATAATATGCCCAAAAGCAAAACTACATGTAACCTCTAAACGAGTTTAAATCGTTACTACACAAAAGATTTTGCATATTACTAGTCAGAGATCCAGATATTGGATGCCTACTATTTCTCTTAAGATTGCCATTTTGGAGGCTGAGTAAAACATTTTTGAACTTCTCGCATTAGTGAGTGACACATATAGCTACTGGACCTCTCACCTAACAGTATGACTCAAACTTAATTCTCTCCTCTATATCAATCCAAAAAAAAAATGGCATAAAAATTCTTACTGAAGAGTATCACTTCAATAATATTCCAATAACTCTCCCAAATTTAGTACTCCTATGTTTTTCACAAAAAAAATAAAGATAATTGACAATAATCAACAAGTATAAGCGTGAATCAGAACCTCAAAGATGCAATCTCCAACGTAAGCTAGCGAAGCTGCGTTAAACACGGACCGAGGCTTCTCAACTTTGGGTGCACTTGGTAGCCATACGTCGTACCCCATATATGTTCCATCCGGTTTCACTATTTACAAAATATAATATCAACATGTATAAATACAAAGTGAAACATCAAATTATGCTCAAAAGAGAAAGCAATTAGCCGTTCAGTACCTTCCGCAGACTTAGGAATTTCACGTTTGAGAAGGTCCGATACTGAAATATTCGACCGGCTGGTAGAAGGGGACAAGGAGATAGTTGAAATGGCGGATAGAGAATCAGTGGTTTGGGGCTTTTTAGGAGATGTACGGTGAGGAGTGTACGGAAGCCTTTGAGTTGTGTCAACTGAAGCTTTTACAATTGGGGATATGGAGAAGAAAGGAAGAAGAATCGCCATTGTTGAATTACAGTAACTCTTCAGCTACTCGCGGGACAATATATCTTCAAAGGATAAATTGTATTCCGCGGCATTTTGTCCGTTTAGTAACGGAGTGTTTGTTAGGGTTAATTCTAACAACACCCTTAACTTATTACAATTGTAAAAAAAAAAGGTCCCATAACTTCTTCAGGTTATAATTTGATCTACTTTTGTAATTATATGTACGAAAAATTACGCGGTTAAACAAATTTACTGTACTTAATTATTCATCATAGCTATAATTTGTTGTAATTATCAATCGCAATTAAAATTAACCATTAGTTATGTGGGGCAACTTCTAATGTATATAATTAGTCGCGTTTGTATATGTATAATTCGTTATATTTGTATAATTCGCAACAAACAATTTTTTGTTTCATTTGTATTTGTATATGACGATGATTTTCTTTGGTTAGTTTGTATTTGTATATGATGATGATTTTCTTTGGTTTTTCAGTTTTGTCATCATATACATTCAACTTTTTTATGTATAAAGTTTGTATATATGTTTAGTTTTCAGATTTTGCATGATAAAATTTTTATATAATTTAATTTGTATGATATATTTTGTGTGATTGTTTAACGTCATATGTTTATGTTTGTATTAATTCATGGTTTTGAGTTTTTTATATTTGTATAATTCCAGACTTAATATTACTCAATTATACAAAAACACATGAATCATTCAAAATTACCTGCGAATTATACAAATTATTGTCTTCTCTTGCTTGCCTCTCTCCTCTCTCCCAGTCTCACTCGCCTCTCTTCTCCCTCTCCCAATCCGTTCGTCTTTCTCTACTATGTCACAGTCTCTCTCGCCAGAATATACAATTACATATGTATGATATACAATTATTTAACCAATATACATATATAATTCACCTCTCTCGCTCATCTCTCTCCTCCCTCTCCCAATCTCGTTCGCCACTCTCCCCCATAACTTATAACTATGAATCGTAATTAGCAAACTATAACTATGAAGCATAATTAGGTTATTTTTGAGTGACTGTATGCTAAAGTTCCTCCTATATATATATTAAGGGGTAGGGAGAAAGTGATAATATAACCACTCAAAAATAATATTGATTAAGTAGGAGTTTGAAGATACTGTTTTATTTTTATGTTATATGAAAATGTATAATAATGCATTATATAGCAGGAGATGTGAATCGAGAAGTAATTTTCATGATTTTTCATAATAATATTGGGTGTTTTTAATATTAATATTGCAATTTAATTATTTTAGAAAATTAGGCTACAATCAAAAATTAATTATCATATTTTTTTTGGCTGAAAAAATAGGTTTTACTATTAGTCATCACTAAAAATCACTCATAACCTTTAATGACAATATTTTGAGATTTTGTGACAACTTTGTCGTCACTAAAGATCAAGTTATTTCATAATGAATCTTAGTTGACAACACTTAGGTGGAGGGATTAGTCCTATGTGGCATACCACGTCACTAAAAAGTTTGGGTGTTAACTCTTGAGGGTATTTGTGGTCTCTCAGAATAACAGCGGGGTATTTTTAATCACTAAATATAATAGAGAGTATGAGTGATTTATTTCGCATAGTTTAGGGTAATTTTGACCCATTTCCCTTTTTTTGAAAAGTTTGGGTTACCACGTCGTCGCTTTACACTACTGCTGTAATTTACCTCAACGGTGAAGAAGAAGAAAAGAAACGGCGGCCGGCGACTGAAGACCGTAAACAGTGTGAATTTTGCAGCAGAGCAGAGAAGAAAGAAGGAAGCTATAGGAAAGGCGTAATGGCTGAGCCTCCAAAACTATACGTTAATAAACCTAAGAAAGGTAATTGCTGAATTATTTTGTCAATCGAGAAGAATCTCCTATAACAATGGCATTATTTTTCATTTTTTTGAATAATAGTAACCGTTTATAATCGGATGTACAGCGCAGTTGAAGCAAATTCAGCAACAACAGGCATCTTCTCCGACAACGCCGCCGGCGCCGCCGTCATCGATGGCGTCGTCATCTATGGCGCGCGGTGCGGCTCCACCTCCTCAGCCGCCTAAGGAATCCTTTATTCGCCGTTACAAGTACCTATGGCCTATGCTTTTGGTTGTCAATTTCTCTATTGGAGGTTACTCTTTCACTCTTCGTTTTTTTTCCCATTGTTGGCTAAAGCTTTTTTAATTTCATTATAAGGTTCCGAGCTTTTTGAAATTAGACGTCGGCATTTTTGATGATCTACTTAATGCGTTTTAATTTCGTTCCATGTCTGCTATGGTGATGTTATTGTTGGAGTCCCATGTGTTTGTGGGATTGGAGTTTGTTCTCTTATATGGTGTTGGCAATTCATAAGTTAGCTTTTGTCTTGAGTCAGATTCAAGATCCGTTCTTTAACATGGTATAGAGTTAAACTCGTACATGTTCATTGTTTTCGACATTGGGCCCCTTGTCTTGTATTGTCCATGCTCTAGATGTCTAGTCCTGGAAGTGTTGGAGTGCCACATCACAATGGAATTTGGTCTCCTCATATGGTCTTGGACCATCCTCCTTGATGAGCTATCTTTTGAGGTTAAGTTAGGTCTAAGATCTACTCTTAAACAGTTATATGCTGAATTTGGACTTCACCGTAGAAAATGCAATTCAGTCTTGTTAAAGAAAAGTCTCTAGGGAAAGGTGCAGAATGTTGAAAAAACTTTGTAGTCATGGAACTTCTTTTTAGTATTAGAGTTTAATTATTGTATTAGTAGACAAATTTCACAGTCTTTAGCTTATTTTCTTTTTCATAATTCAATTAGGGTGTGGCTTATATCTCATACTGTCATTTCCATAACGCACAAGAATTTTCTGTTCTTTGAGAATCCATTCTAGATGCGTACTTATCCTTGTTCCTTAGGGGACAGTGTAAGTAGCTTTGATTAGGTAAATTATTGAAGAGATGGTACAGAGTAATGTTGCAATAGGCCTAGAGTAACTAAGTATGTCATTGTTACAGTGGCTGTCAGATTTAAAAGAAAATGATTCACAAATGGGAGAAACCTCCATTCTTCCTTGAACTCACTAGTTGTTTTCTTATCTTTCTTGCTACACTCCCTGTGTCATTGTTTCTCTGAATTGGTTTGCTTTCTCTTCATTTTTGGGTTCTTCTTGTATGTCAATAGATAAAGTTTTCCTCATTTCTAGTTTGAGTGTTTTGTGATTTTTATGCGACACCAGAAGCCACAAACAATAAACATAAGTTCTGTTTCTTATCTGTCAAGCACTATATTGGTTGTTCTGAATTTTGAATGATGCGGTCCATTTAGAGGCCTAAACCAAAAAGTTTAAATCCGAACAGACTGATATAAAGTAATGCAACCACCTTTAGTCTAAAAAGCCTTCACCTTGCCCTTCTGCACTAAAGAGGAGAATAATTCTTACATGTAGGGTAAGAGAGGGAAGTACAACATAGAGGGGTCTTGAAATACTAGCCAAGAATGTCCAAATGTATACGGTTGAAAACTGCACTATCAGTGAAGATGAATGACAGTTTTCTGTAAAGCTTTTGTGTTTGTACCTTCTTTGGAATATATTGCCCTGCATCCCCACATACAATAGAAAACTTACCAAACGGTTCATGCACCATGTTTGTTGCCATCATTATGGAGGAGTAAGATACCTTTGGTGGAGGATCATTTGTACACTTTTAGAATGATATTATAACTTTACGAACTCGAGTACTTTGAATACCTTGGTTTCAAACATGAATATCGTGAATGGTGTAATCCAGCTGATTTAAAATGATGGTTTATTCGATCTGATTTATGATGGTTGAATGAAAGTTGTGTGGTCCAAATCTGGTGCAGATTATTTTGTCGAAGGGGCCAAATGATCATCAGAAATGTACTGATTGTTTTGGAATCGTGACACGAACTTACCAAAAGTTCTTATTATCAGTGATGGAAATTATCAAAACAGACATATCCTTGTAAAATGGAACCATAGTCACAGTCTGTTTGCTTGGATTCTTCAATAATGTCGAGAGTTACTTGCCGGATCCTTCAAAGCTAGTGCCATTTGGAAGATCCGACATGTGTGTGGCAACATTTTTGGAAACTTGGAGCAACATATGACACACACTAAATAGTCCAGTAATATGACTGTGCTGAAAGAAAATAGTCGTAAGTTTGAATTGTTCTGTGTCTCTTTATTAAGCTAGTTTCAGCAAGGACAATTAATAACTTAGAAGCAAGCAATATTGATCGAGTCCACCAAACTTTGTTAAAGCACATGTTCAGCTTTGATTCTCATTTCTAACTTCCATGCTGCAACTGTTATTTGACTTAACTAGTTAGTAAATTTAATTTCATCTACGCTCTAAACAGTGATTCTCTTTTAGATTTGACCTACCATAAGGTGAAGGACCAGAACTTTCACTTGACCAGAACTTTCACTTGGAAGTTCCTGCAATCAAAGCCATGTTAAAGGTGAAAAATAAGCAACTGTAGTTTGTAACTGTTTTTCTTTATACTTTAATATGGAATGGAACTGTATGTACTGTGAACTAAGATCTTACTACTTGGCTAGTAGTCCTTGTGCTGCTTTATCTTTTTGCGTAATTCTACTCTCCTAGTGATGGCGATAGTGTTCCTCTGGAAATGCAAACAAGTGGAATTCCTCTGTGTGCACTATATTTATTTAGTATAAACATGTGATGTTAATACGGAATGTTTATGTCATCTTGTTGTGCTCCAATTGTTACTGGTAAGAAGAAACAAAAGGTCAATAAATTGATCTTCCTGCTTTATTCGTCTCAATCAGTTTTTAAAAGAACAGAAATATTAGTTCAAATTAACATTCATTGCTTCTTTTTCTGTCTCTCATTTCCATCTTACATTGTTAACTTGTAGAGTAGCATGTTTCTTTCCTGTATGCCCTTGCCATGCTCACAACCTTATGATACCTGAATTCCGGTCTTTACAGTTCTCTTTTCACAATTCCATAAACTTGCTTTTTACATTCATGGTACTTCCGTCTGTTTTTGTGTAGCTTACCTTTTCATGAGGACTAAGAAAAAGGATATGGGAACTGAGGAAGGAGAAATAGATGTTCCTGGTGCCTCTATTTCAACAGTAGCTGCTAGCACAGTTAGTGAAAAGGAAAAGGAAGTCGCTGCTACACCTACTCTGCAGCCTATGATTGTACGAGAACCAATACCCGAGAATCAACAGCGTGAACTATTTAAGTGGATGTTGGAAGAAAAGAGAAGAATTAAGCCAAAAGATCAAGAGGAGAAAAAGCGGATTGATGAGGAGAAAGCCATTCTCAAGCACTTTATTCGAGCCAAGTCCATCCCAGTTTTGTAATTTTTGACTATGACGAAATCCCAGTAGTCGTAGCCCGTAGGCTTGGATGAAAAATTTATCCTCAGGTTTGATTTTCATCATTTTCGTTTTTCAAATATAAACACATGTTGAAGTAATGAATTTGCTTGGACAATGAAGTGATGTTTGATCCCTATCTCCAAATCCTTGTTTTTTTGACAAGAAACTTGTAAATACATTTGGACTCTTTAACTATTTGATATTGCTGGCTAGAGAAGACATCGGATTGTTGTTATGAAGATGGATGTTTTCTAACTCGTTTGGGATTGAGGTGCAATAATTAACGGGATGACAAATTACCGAACAGTAGCGATATATCTTAGCAATAAAACCATCCTCTGTTAACCTTTGGGGGTGAGCCAGCGGTTTGAGCTTGGGACTCCCATGTTGAAGGTCTCATGTTTGAAACCCCTTGCCAGTGAAAGCAAGGGGTTTGCCTTCTGGGTCGAGCTCGTTGCACTAGACTTGCCAAGTGCGGGTTACAACTATTGCATAGGAACAGGGTTTTTACTCTGTGTACATTCAAAGGGTAGCGACCACGGATTTCCCTTGTCATAAAAAAAGCAAAAATATGAATAACGAATGAGATGAAAATCGATCCTTTGAAAACATTCTTTTTTAAATGGACTAAAAGAAAGAATAAAATAAACAAATTAAAACGAGATTATTAGCTAAAGAAATTGAGCTTCCACGAAATGCGTGTATCATCGAATCAATGATTGCCGTCAGCGCATAATGCATCTAACTTTAGTTCATTCAAAAGTTTAGTTAGTAGTATTAATTTATCAAAGGAAAAAAGATAGAATCATAGTTTAGTTTTTAATAAATAAAATATATATACACCTAATGTACAAGAAATAATATTCTCCAACGGTTTTCAAGCTAAGATTTGGTTTATATACCAAAATTTTTTTTTTGTATCTAAAGGAACTTAATGGAATGATGACATTAGAATGAAGCACACGCTTACACTAATGATTATTAACAAATTAAATCAGTTAGGCCATTCGAACAATCATGGAAAGAAGAACTTAATTAATTAATATTGGGGCATGGTACTTAATACTCATAAATAATCAAAGCCAAATACCAAAACTTGATAAGTATAGTCAAAGGGACGTGTTAATTAAAATTAAAATCACATATGTATTCCATTAAAGAACTAAAAGAAGAAAAGATTAGCTAGTCTTGCACCTTAATTAATACTTAATTACTCATAAGAGGCGTATAAATCAAGAAATTAAGGATAAGATTGAGATTAATTAGAAGAGAAGTTTGGCCATGGCTTGTGTAGGTAGGGTATTGAATATGATGATAATTATATATATATATATATATATATAT